CTATGAACCACAGGGCTGCCATCCAATCGGGAAGTATTTATTGAGCACCATTAACAGGTGCTGTTCTGTAATCTGGGGACAACAGTAAACTATGTTCTTACCCAGCACTAGGCCATCCTGTATGTTTGTGACCTGACACACTTTCCTGGTGGCCACATCTGCCACCAGCTTTACCGCACTCTATCCTGTGACCTGTACTAGTTCCTGTACTATCCTGTACTAGTTCACTATCTCACTTGACTGAGTGGACTACAGGATCCAAGGTTTTATTGTCGTTCTTACTATCAGAAACTGTCCTTTGTGCCAATATGTCAAGAACTTCTGGAATGTCTACTTCTTTTTCATGTGAATACACTCCCTTATTTGTTCTAGTTTCTTATCAAAAAATCTGATAAATGTATTTACTTACAATTACCATGACCTCTGCAATAGTACAGTGATACATTTTTCTGAAAATATCTCGACCTCAGAGACTAAACTTTTGGCAGACTTCACAGAAAATTAGCACTATGCCTTGAGATCAGTCCAGGCTTTGTATTCAACCCGCCATCATTCTGCATACTCAGCCCGTGTAAGTTTAACCTGCCTTTTCGGGAACACACAGCCAAACTTACTGCGCCTTGGATTTCCCATGCAGTCAGCTTTTACAGTCGAAGGCACATGCATAGCTTTCACCTTAAGTTATACACTCCACGCCCCAACCATGAAGGGCTGTGTGTATGTTTACGCTGTGGTAATCGCTCACTTTAACAGGTGGGAGACAACCCGTAAGACAAATCTCCACAGTCAGTGTTTCAAACAGCATGAGGATGCAGTTAGTATGTGGTGCTGAATGCTACTCAACAGTCAGCTGGGGTCAGTAAAGCGGCTGCTTCCCTGCAAATGCCGTTAAAGAATCCCTCAGCCCTTCCTGGCCATGTTTTCTGTGCTGTCCACACCCTGTATTACAGAGAAGCACAGCACACAGGAACAGAGACAGACAGATCGTACACACAAAACAGGTCAGTAACAATAAAACCTACAGACAGCAGCAAGACAGAGAATTCAAATTTGCGCTTGTTCTTAGTCAAATTAACCCAAAAGAGAGTGCTGTGTTCTCATTGCTCAATGTGATACACACACTGGTGCCTCTCAGGTTGTCTTTAATGTGTTAACAATGCATCACAGTATGCGCTTTCTAAAACAGTGGTTCTCAATGTGTGGGTTGTGTGATCCCTCTAGCAAACCTCTATCTCCAAATATATTTACATTATGACTTATGACAGTAGCAAAATTACAGTTATGAAGAAGCCACATAAATAGTTTTATAGTTGGGGTTCACCACAGGCTGAGAAACTGCATTAAGGGTCACACAGCATCAGGAGGGTTGAGAATCACTGATCTAAAAGCCTTTGAAACTGTAAGCCGAATAATCAACCCTTCAGATTTTGTTATTCAGGTATCAGACACAGTGACAAAACGTTTGACTAACACATCATTAAGTCACCTAGAAAAACACTAGAAAGTCTCTAACATGTATGTCACTGACTCAAGGAGAGACTTAGATTCATTATTTAGTATTCCAAGGCTTCCCTCATTCAACAGGCTCAATCCAAAAACACCATGTCCTCTCCACAGCAGCAGTAGCTGGTCTGTTTCAGACCACTTATCAACTTTCCTTAACTATCTTATGGGAAATTTTTCTGATTTTAACTATTTAGCCCAGGCTAGCCTTAATCTTGAGATGGTGTTGTGACTCATCTCAAAACTCCCAATCCTCCTCAGCCTCTAATGATACAACTCCAGCCCTCAAACCTGGCTGAAAAGGACAGTCAAACAAGAAAACGTTACAGCTTATTCTGAAATGCTTGCTGCCCAAGCATGAGAACCAGAGTTCAGCCCCTAGAACTCAGCAAAAAGTCAAGCACAGTGGTGTGCATTTGTAATCCCAGAACTAGGGAGGTCAGCACAGGAGGAATCCAGCCTAATCAAGTACCATGTTGGAGACCTCATCTCAATAAACAAACATAGGTGGAGGCTGGAGGGACAGACTAGAGAGATAGCTCAATGGTTAAGAGCAATCACTGCTCTTACAGAGGACACAGTTAGGTTCCTAGGACTCACGGTGAATCACAATTCTAACTTCACTTCCAGGGGCTCAAACACTCTCTTCTGGCCTCCATAGCCACAAGGCACACATATGGTACACATACACATATGCGGGCAAAACATCCATACACACAACATAGAAATATTTCCTTCTGTAAAAGAAGCCATCCTGAGAAACAAATCTGAGTCTAGCTTCTGGCCTCCAAACGGCAAGTGCACACCCAGGCACATGTACCTTCCACATTATAAACACCCACCACACAGGCATTCATGCACACACCTTTTTTTTATAAGAACATATTTTTAAAATGGCAAACTATAGTGTTTTATTTTATTATTTTTTTAAATGTATGAATGTTCTATATGCATGTACACCTGCATGCCAAATGAGAGCATCAGATCCTGTTACAGATGGTTGTGAGCCACCATGTGGTTTCTGGGAATTGAACTCAGGACCTCTGGAAGAGCAGCCAGTGCTTTTAACCACTGAGCCACCTCTCCAGCTCCCCCTGCCTGTAATACATAAACTTTATTTATATGATAGCTTTATTTAGATGCCATGATAAGAACCTAAAAATTTACTCAGTGAAAGAATCTTAAATAACACAAGAATCAAACAATATTGTTACTAAGGAGACTGGAGGGAAGACAGACCATTATATAGCTCCAAAATAAACTAGAAATCCTCTTAAATAAATTATATATATAATTATATATATAAATTATATAATCATGTATAAATTTAGTCTAGGAGGAAGTAGAAACCACACATTGTCTACAAGAAATGTTGTCTTTAAATTTATCTAAGTTTATGAACTTTTAAACACTATAATTTAGCCATAGTGTAAATGAGCATGATTAACAAATTTAATCCTTGGAAATTATATTCAATTGTCAAAGAAAAGAAACTATTCTTTTCTAACTCGAAGCATTAGCCTTTACTACAGTCATCTGTGGTTCTAAGAAATGAAAATAGGGTCAGTGAGATGTTGAGTGGACAAAGGCACTTGCGGCCAAGCCTAATGACCTGAGTTCAATCCCTGGAACCTGCATAAAGGTAGAAGAGAAGCAGTACTTTACATGAGCACCATCACAGCACACGTGCCATCCCTTCACTCAATAAGGTAACTCTAAAAATTAAAAAGCGGAAAGTCTTTGAAATTACCCATGTGTATTTGAACTCCTGACATGTGTTTAGTGCTAACGTGTGTGAATAAGCCACAAAGTACACTACACAAATTAACAGTTAGCACTTGGAACTAAGATGCAAAAAAGGTAACTCGTGAGTGGTGACGACTGTTCTCTGGCACAGCATCTGAACACACTTGACGATTTTAAAAAAATTTTAAGTAAATCTCCAGAACTCATCTTCAGGCTTAAGAACTGTCACTGGCAAGTTGTTCACACAATTTGGGATTTGTGACAGTTTGCCAAAGCTAGATCATAGTTGTTGGTTTTTTTCTTTCACATCTAGTTTTCAGAAAAGTTTAACCTAATACAAACAAGTTTGTATGAGGCATGTATAACTTCAAGAAAACAACTACACAACTACAAATACTTCAGACTTAGTCACAAATCAAAAAAAATTTTCATATGCTACTTAAAAATAACTATAAACATTGAAGGCAAGACTTCACTTTCCATACCTTCTTGGTTAGCATACACTAAATCCACATTCCAAGCCACATTATCATAAAACACTCTAAACTGGTTGTTGTAACTAAGCCCTTGTATTTCTCTTACATATCCAATCTGTAGTTTGTTATTTGTAAAGCTAGATTATGATTCATAGCAATAATCCCAGCACTCAGGAGGTGGAGACATCGAGTTTGAGGCTAGCCTGGACTATACAGGAAGACCCTGTTTCATAACAAAACAAATTCCAAGGGTTTTGTTTTAGTGCTAAGCAAATTAAAAACCTAATTAATGGTTTCCCTCCCTTCTGTCACATATGGAAGTCATGGTGTCCTTTACTCCGTGAAGCTGTCTTAAAGACAAGTGCTCATCCTGAGGGATCTTCCCTCTATCCTCCTCACCATGCCCTACTCACTGCAAAGTCACTTCCCTTCTCTGGGGTTTCTGTCTCCACACTTCAGCTACCTGTAATCATGGCTTGAAGATGCTTTCACAGGATCACGAAAAGCTCAGCAGGAGCCTCCACCACCTCCATCACCACCTCCATCACCAGCCTCACTTCATGTCCTTATGCAGAAACCATGTCTCATGTCATCAATGAGGTGAGGGGACCACATTTCCAGGGAGGCCGTATTCACACGGCTTTCATTACAGACTATCATTACAACTCCTCTTTCTCATTACCAGTTACTAACAAGCCCCTGCTTCTGTCCCTCCCCACCCCCTCCACCCCGGTCTGTGCATTATGATGATCTGAGACATGATCCCCCTCTACTCTGAGCTGGTTCAGAACAAGATTCTCCTAACTCCACCAACAGAGTACTGGAATACAGGTGCTTGCCACCATGTCTAGCCAGTGTCGTTAATTTCTTACTCAGCCTAATAAACCAAATTTCACCATAGTTGAATATATATCTGGGCTGTGGGGTAGAGTGTATAGGGTTTAGTACTATACAGTGTTTCAGGTGTCCACTCCCTGCAGAGAAGGGAACTAGCATAAGCCTTTTTACATTTTAGAGTTTCTACGTTTGGAGAATTAAAGAATGTTAGAGGAAGACCTTCAAGATTCAATAACAGCAATTGCTGGACAGGCCTGATGGTCTGAGTTGAATTCTCAGAACAAGGTTATCCTCTGACATCTATGTGTATGCCATGGCAGCTTGTGTGTGCACGTGCACACGCACACACACACACGCGCACACACACACACACAGACATCCCATTTATTTTAAAAAGAAAGATTGTTAGAGCAAATCTTGTCCCTTAAAGCTGCTTACCTGAATGTATTTCCGTTGGGTTTCATCATTTAAAACATGTGCAACATGCTTGGAAAAAATCTTCTCCCTGCCAGTTCTGGCATGGATACCAACCATAGTGACACCGATAGGCCAGGGGGCATTTCCAATGGCCATCTGAAGGTAAGCATCATTCGCCTGAAAATAAAAAAGGTTAAGAAATCAAAAGGGCAAAAAATATATTGGTTCAAATGAGTACTGCATAGCCCTTCCTGACATACATTTTATTAGAGTTCAAGTTTGGGGTAACTTACAGCCTTGCCCGAAACATGAATGCCTGTGAAAACATAAGTCAATTCTAAGCATGTGGGAAAGACAAACAACCCTTTCTAGCCTTTGTGCATGGAAAACAATGCATTTCAGACTGGTACAGCAGGCAGTTCATCTCACATGCTAACAGATACTCTATTTTAGATTCAGTCTCTGTCACATGGCTATGGAAGGCAGACAGGAGCTAGCTAGCCTTTCACCACCCAACCTGCAATCAGATCCACTCCCCACATAGCACTGTGGGGCTCTGGAAGCAGTGGGGGCGGGAGGAGGTGGTTTATCTGCTAGGAAAAGCACATAGGGGCCACAACAGATGGATACACAAGCCTGGACACAGGCTTACAGTTCGCACAGTGAAACATGTGAAGCATGACAACTTTCTACTTTGACTCCCAAGACTCCCACCTGCCAAGAGCCTTAAATTAAAAGCTATGAAAACTCAAGACAGAAGCCAGTAAAGACAAAGGGTTTGTTTACAGTCAAGTCTGGCTGGCTGAGAGAAAGAAGGGGAAAACACAAAACGCAAGTAATTTCTAAAGACCCCCAAATACAAGCAGGCTGCACAGAGATTTCAATTTCAAAAATCTAACTGTATGGTCTGTACCGTGGGTAAAGTCACACAAGCACCACAGTTAACTGGGCGGTCACTGTTTACCCTAGGGATAAGTGTCACCTTCCTCTGCAGCACATCTTAAGGGTTTAATTTTAAAGGGAATTCTGTGGGGTTTTGTCTCTCATATGTAACTTCCACACAGGACTTCAACTAATACAACTTCCAATTTCCCACATCTCTAAAACCTCCAAAGAGAATTCTCTACACACTATTCAAACGTACTGGTTCTCACTGTCATTTATACAAAGTAAGCTCTCCCCTGGTTTTAATATACATTGTGAGCAAAAGATAACGTGAGGCATGAGCTAGAGCAGGCAGTGATTAGACTGTTGTCCGCCAGGACGAAGAGCACGCCATGCACTGCCATGCATCCTTATTAAATACCATGGAGGGGAAGGCGGAGAATGACAAAAACATGCATGAAACACTCCAAGAACTAAAATAAATTAAAGGGGGAGGGGAAGGAGGGAGGAAGAGAGAGACTTGTGCAACTAATAGAAACTAAGAATGAAAAACTATCGCTACTGGAACAATAATAATAATAAAGCCCCTTTAATAATAAAGCCCCTTCTTGATCTAATGCTCTTGTCACCCAGATCACCAGAGAACGCCAGCACTTCCCTCTTCCCCTCTCTAGTGCTCTAGCACTGCCTCTGGGATTCAAAGGAACCTTCACTCCAGGCTTCGTGGGCACCTCAGCCATTGGAAGTCCCCTACTCAGTGTCGTATCTTCAGTACCCAGAAGCCTTCTCTCCCGTCTCCAACAGCCTTCCCTCCAAGGCCGGCTTCTAAGCTCTCCCCAGTAGTTCTGGATCCTAGGGTGCTTTCCCCAACACTTCTCCCAGAGTCCACTCAAGAGCTAAGACATTGGAGTGAACAGCAACTGCCCTCCCAGCAAGCAGTCTGCTGTGTCTACAGTACTGTAAAGGGAGAGATGAGTCCTAACAGCCTTCCATAAGCAATATCCAAACACAGAAACAACCACAATGCAAAGGTCAAGTCCTCGGAATCAGCCAGGACAACAGTCAATTAAATAAGCTTTGCAGTGGTCTGAAGAACCTTGCTTGTATGGGAGGATTTGTACACTCTGAAATTCAATCCCATCCATTAAGACGAGCACGCCCACATATCGTATATGCTCTGAAGAACCTTTTAATCGCCTTTTTAAATGACTAAGAAACACAGTTGAGGTCTCAAGTTTGTTATTCAACGCCAAGAGAACAAAAGGACTTTTCACTCCTACCTGCTTTACACTCATTCTTAAATGTACTATGTAAAATTCTCCCCATTCCATAAAGGTCACAGCAATTGTAACACAGAGTGTAATAATTTACCTTCACGTACTCTCTCTGTAACATGAACTTAATAATATCTGTTATTGATTCTTTAATATCAGCAGGAAGATTCTGAAAAAAAGAAAAAAAACATAACCAGTTTTAGAAGCTACCATATGTAGTGAAAACTACTTATTCTATACATTCTGATTTTAAAAAACAAACAAACAAAAACATGAGTTTAAAATCTTCCGGAAGCCTCACCCTTTTCCGGAGCTTTCTGAAAAGCGGTCTGAGGTAGGACTCGGTCTGCTTCTGGGTAGCACTGTTCAGTTTGCCCTGCACACTGCGTTTCACGTAGTCCTCTCTGGCATTCAATTCTTTAGCCCAAACACCAAGAAGAAACTGTTGGAAAAAAAGTTAAGGCTGCAATGCCACCCAGTGGTGTATGTGGAGAAGCTCTCTAACACAGGGACAGTTGGTACAGAGTCATCCTTACCACACGTCCTGCTTGAATAAACTGTCATCAAGTAAGATTTAATTAACTAACAACTTCTGTTTGTCTCATCATGTGCTTCAAAATCAAGACACCCATAATTTATGTACTACTACATGATGAAGACAGACAACTTCCTCAAAAAAGAGCTATCAAATTCCTTCATTACTGGATTGAAATAAACTCACTGTATTTTTACTTGTACTTATCACACATAATTTAACTAATCTAGGTTTATCATATATATGCCCCATACTGTATGCACTTTGATATTCTATCAGTGTTTGAAGTATGTTATATACTATTTGGACTTACACAGAACAGAGAGACCAATTTAAAAATCCCACCAACACCAACTAATGGTGAGGGGAAAAATAAAACTAAAACTGTGATCCACATTGAGTTCTCACCTTGCCAAACGAACCCAGAGCCCCTTGGGTTTAACTACAGACTCTTTCCAGGGGCAGGTGACAGTGAAGGCAGCTCTGTGCTGCGGCCCACTGTAGAGTCTAGTTCTACACTGTGTAGTCTGGGGATACTTAGAACCCTGACAATTAAAGTGTTCAAAGCATAAACATTCTAAATAAAAAACTAAGATAAAAAAATGTAAATACAAATAAAAGCACTCCTTGCATTAAGTCTACCAGTCTGCAGACAAATATTTAAATGAATTTAGGATTCAACCATGTTCTCCCTAGATAACTAAAGAGAAATGCTGATAGCAAATACAGATTTAGTGAATAAATAAGCAAAAATAAGGGCTGGTGAGATGGCTCAGTGGTTAAGGGCACTAACTGTTCTTCCGAAGGTCATGAGTTCAAATCCCAGCAACCACATGGTGGCTCACAACCATCCATCCATAATGAGATCTGATGCCCTCATATGGGTGTCTGAAGACAGCTACAGTGTACTTACATATAATAAATAAAAAATTTTTTAAAATAAGCAAAAATAAGCAAGTATACACAGTACTCAAGAAATGAGCCTTGCTCAAAGGTTAGATCTGGTCACTTTGTGCACCACCGATGTTCCTCCCAAGCTCCCTTCCTCCCCACCTCCCCACCGCCTCCCGGGCACTGCTCTCTAGGGTATTTGAGGAGACAGGAAACTCCTTCAAACGTGTGGTCCCTCTACTGCTGCAACCATTTCCCTGACTTTAGGGAAAGCCCACAGAGGAAGCAGACACACACTGCCATTCATTATCACTGCAAAGACAGTGAGGGTTCCAGTGGCACAGCCACTTAGCACCAGGCACTCACGTGACGAGTACAAATGCTTGAGAATCACCCTCCCCAGGATATACCCGAACACAGGGAAGCTCCTTACACATCCACAAGCCCTCTGTCCTTCCCTGCGGCACTCACCTTCAGGAACTTAGTGATGATGTCCATGTCCTTATGGTCGTCACCTTTCCCTAAGGACTCCCCCAGTGCCTCAAGAGAAGAAAGAAAACATGACAGTTCACTAACAGAGCAATTTAAAAAGAAGGTGTATGAGACTGTCTGTGTGACCAGCAATAGGTTACAAAGTGCTTTAATAATGCATACTGACCAATTTTTATTTTAATTTGTTTACATTTCTAGACAAGTCAGGAAAAAACTGCATATTTCTATGCAGAGAATGTGGTACCTCTTATGAATAGACAGGTAAGAGAGTCAGCCATCTAGTGCTGCCTGCATAGGCAGGCCGGACAGCCTGGGCTCAATCCCAGACCCCAGGTAAAGGTGGAGAGAGGATCAGCCCGCACAGCTGCACTCTGCACTCCACACACATGCAGTGGCAGATGTCCACAAATCACGTGCACACCACACAGGCACACACCACACATGCACACAGTAACAGTTCTACAACAGTTTACAGACTGTCATTGCCTTTTGCTACATATCTGTGTTTGGACATGAGCGTGAGATTGCAGGAACTCAGAGCCCAGAGCTGCAGTGTGAACTGTTCAGCACAGGTGCTGGGAACCAAGCCTGTGAGAGCAGTGCAGTATCCTTCACAGCTGAGCCACCTCGCTGGACTCAATTTTGCAAATTTAATATAAAACATCAGTGACTGTTAACAAAGCTGGGCACTTCTCCTAGATGATAAAATAGCCTGAAATCAGATTATGCTGGTGGTGACAACACCCTGTGGATATATTTCATGAGCCACTCAATTGTATACTTTATTTGGGCAAATTATATTGCATGCAAAGATTGTTTAAAAAATAAGGAAGAAAGAAAGGAGGACTAGGGGGAGGGGAGGGTGGGTTAGTGCGACAGAGGGAGGGAACAAGTCTGACTGATGAGTGACCGCTCACTCCAATTATTCAGTTACAAAGCATAGTCTCAAACAAGCATAGGAGGGGAGGGCAGCAGCGAGGAGAGGGGAGAGCAGTGAATGGCGTCCTCAGCCACAACCTCACTCTAGAGATCCCTACATGCTCAGAAGCCAGAGACTAAAGCAAACACAAGTAACAGCTTGTGTTGTATTAAACATAAAGCAAACAAACAAAACTCTATTTGTTACATGCTAGATACTCACATGATACAATACTGGTTTTTCATGAACATTACACATATCAGTCACATACAACACAGTGCCAGAATCAGGAGGCTATATAGTGGCAAGTGTCAGCAGAAACCTAAGGACACGCCTCTCCTGTGCTGCTAGTGGGACAGCCCTGGGACAATCTTGCCACAGAGCAGTTTGGTAGCACTCAGACAACTAAATCTGTATGTATAAGACCCACAATTCTGTTCCAGTCCATGTCTATGGCTACGGAGGAGCGGAGAGCAACCAAAGTGCCCACTGTTGTAAGAAATCTAAAATACAAGAATGCTGTAATATACAGCCAATCCAAAGCAAGAAAAGCAAGTGTGGATCTTTATAACAGTATGAAATGGGGAGAAAGCAATAAAATAAAGATTACCACAACATACACTATTACTTTACAGCACATAAAAACTTTAAGTTTTATAAGTACACCACCAGCAAATAAAAGGATGCACAGCAAATACTACAGCGATCACTTTGGAGGTAGGAAATGTGAGTGAACGAGAAACGAGGGAGGAAAGCCATCGCCTGCATGGCAAGGAAGGAGTACACGGTGCAGAGCACTGCTCAACTCAGTGAGCTCCTGAGGAGGAAGGGATGCTGGGGTAGACTACCTCTAATTCTTCAATGGTGGTGTTTTCCTCGTGAACTTTCAGGTCATTCTGAGTGTCCTCCTCTCCAGGTTCCTGACCACCCACAATTTCATTCAAGTACTGCTGGTCAATCTTGTCCAAAGCTGCTTTCAGGTCATTCCTTAAGCCCTAAGGTGAGAACAGGAAGTGTAACAGTTAGGAAGCTTCACTGTGTGATCTGCGGTCCTTCACTCTTATCAAGTACACTCCTGGCTGAGATGCAGCTCAGTCGGCAGGGTGCTTGCCTTGTGTGCACAAAGCTCCCTCAGGACCTGTAAACTGACCATGGTAGAACACATCTGTAGTCACAGCACTTGGAGGTAGAGGCAAGAGGACCAGATGGTTTAGTTTGAGACCAGCCTGGGCTACATGAACTCGTCTCAACCTTCTCCTCCTAAATCCACATCAAAAAGTACACATCATGTTAAGGGCTTATCAAAACTAGGGAACAAAACAAATCATTATACCAACACTAGCATCACTTGAAAGATAATCCCTATAAACATGGTTAAAAGAATGTATGCACAGCTGGGCGGTGGTGGCACACGCCTTTAATCCCAGCACTTGGGAGGCAGAGGCAGGCAGATTTCTGAGTTCCAGGCTAGCCTGGTCTACAGAGTGAGTTCCAGGACAGCCAGGGCTACACAGAGAAACCCTGTCTTGAAAAACCAAAAAAAAAAAAAATGTATGCACACAGTCCAGTCTACTGCTAAGAAAAAGAAAATAGACATGTTACAAATCTAAAAATCCTCAACAATACCATAAAATGTTCTAATAACAAAGCTTAGTGAATGTGACCAGGTCTCATTAGAGGTCCCCAATCCACTGTCCCAGGTCACATACATGTCTAACCTCATTTCACTTGCTCTGAACTCCCTTAGGTCAATGAAAAAGACCTGGTGTCTCTTTAAGCCAGGCTCTGAACTTTGTTTCTACCAAAGTAGCAAGTTCTACATTCAGTGGATCTCCCGGCTTGAATATTTAATTAAGAAGAAGGGAACAGGCCCCCTTAGCACCAGCTGTGAGGCAAAGAACCAGGAGCAGGCTGGGGATGCTGAGCAGAGGAGCCAGGGAGCAGGGCTGGGATGCTGAGCAGAGGAGCCAGGGAGCAGGGCTGGGATGCTGAGCAGAGGAGCCAGGGAGCAGGGCTGGGATGCTGAGCAGAGGAGCCAGGGAGCAGGGCTGGGAAGAGCTGGGGATTCCGTGTGGAAGACCCAAGGAGCAGACTGGGAGATGTTATGCGGCAGGGCTTGAGAGCAAAGGTAGACTTGGTTCAGACCTATGCTGCGTGGGAGTTCTTGAGCAACTTACCTTTAGGCCTTGACTGCCTCATCTGTAAAATAGGATTCACTCCACCCACTAGGTACGTAGAGTTGTTACAAGAAGTCACTGTTGGTTTATTTTACATATACTGTGTGCTGGGGCTGTTCTCAAACTCTAGCAAAGTTCCTTTCTGAGCTAGGAAGGGCAGTGTGCACCCTCAACGCTCACTGCAGGACCAGCGGCATCCGAGCATCCTCTCATCAACACACGAGAAATACTCCACTCACACACTGTTAATTTAGCAAACACTGATGACGTGTTCTATGTAATGCACAGGACCAGGTTCCCAACCGTTAGCACATTTCATTCTCAAGACACGCCAGTGAGCAGAAGGTCCCACCATCTCTAGTTTACAAACGAGGACTGGAGTAGATTAAAAGACTTGCCACTGGTCATGCAGCTCACGATTAACATCCAGGAATAGAATCCAGACCCTTTAGACCTATGCTCTTTCCTCAGAACCTTTATACGTGTCTAGGCCACAAATAAAAAAAACAAAACATCCCTGACCCCAGGATAGGATAAATACACCCAAAACTCTGCCATTAGTGAAATACAGTAAATGTATCCACAGAGGTTAATTATGGGGACACAGAGAAGGAAACAACTAATTCTTTCTGATGGGGACTGTGATTAGGTTAAAAAAAAAAAAGGTAATTTTTGTATTGTGTCTAGAAGAATAAAGACAGTATTTTCAGGCATTTTAGAGAGACACTGCAAGTACATCATTATAGACAAAGAAGACCGCAAATATCCCAGGAACTTGGTACCACAGGGCTGGACTGGCACTGCTGAGATTCAATGCAGAAAGTGGTCTGAAAACAAGGAAAGCAGACAGGAAGCACTAACTAGCAAACAGAGCACATGGAGCAAGACCCCTAGCCAGCCCCCAGCTCTTCCCACCACTCCAACTGAGACAGAAAGCCAGTGAGTAAAGGTAGGACCAAGCCAAGGGGACACTCCTCATAGGCAACCATTTCCCTTGGATTGAAATCACCTAAGACCTTAGGCAAAGGACTGCCTGGCTTAGACCAATCAAATGATAGAACTGAGTTTGTCTGGTGCCATTAAAGTCTCGAATAAGCAAGAAGACTTGACTGATATTAATAAACTGCTTCACGGCACCGAGCTTTGAGAAGGTCTGTTACACACCCACAGAAAATCATATACATCTTTCAGTACTTAACAGAGTAAACTGATAAAAAACAAAACAAACAAACAACAACAACAAAAAACAAACTAATGAAGCCACAGAAGAGCTGAATGAATACTACCCTGACACTGTAGAACCAAGCAACCAAAGCAAAATCACACACCTTTCAAGTGGTCATGGAATAGACCAGATGCTGAGCACTAACACATAACCAGAGCCTCCCCTGTAAAATCTATAACTGTTAACTTCTAGAAGAAAACACAAAACATCTCTTCAAGTCCTTGGCATATGCAAAGAATTCTCAAGCAGAACACAAAACCAAACAACCATTAAGAAAATTAAATTAAAATAAATAAAGAAAGAATCTGTCAATTGGGACTTCATCAAAATTTAAAACTTCTGCTCAGCAACACTCCATTAAGAAAATAAGTAATGCACAGGCAAGGAACAAATGAGTCAAAAACCCTACCTGAGGTCCTCACAAAGGGCTTATCTGCAGCACACATAAGGAACTTCTAACTCACTAATAAAAAACAAACAAACCAATTAAAAGATGAACACAGGGCTTTCGTAAGCCTGTGATGGTTGCTCTCTCCTGTGGGACTTACGGAGACAGATCTCTGGGGTTAGCTTTGATTCCCGGGACTGGGTTAACTGAGGCTGCACATCTGCATCAAGTGTGTGTGTGTGTGTGGGGGGTCCCATCCCATGGCCTGTGGTCTCAGATGCAACGAAGAGGAGAAAGAGCCGAACATCAGCACAGACCCTTCTGTTCCTGTGTGTGTCATGTGACCGACGACCCCCTGCCTTCCCTGCTCTAGGGAGTGTATCCCTTCAAAATGTCACCAAAATAAACCATTAATCTTAGCAGTTTTAGTGAGGTCCCTTGTCACAGCAATGAAACAGTACAGACACTGAACAAATGAGAGTATGATAAGATGTTCATTCATCTTCACATCAGGGACAGGAATAAAATCATGAAGTTTTTACACATGCAAGAAAGAGAATGATTTAAATCTCAAAGTCTAACAATACCACAGGCTGACCTTTAGAAATGCCCAGCACTTATAAAGCACGTACTTACTCCTTTCATTCAGTAACACTGAATATTTCCCTGAGAAAACATATTTACTTAGGAGAGTGGGGGGACTAGATACCCACTCCCTGAAATACTGCTTACGAGTGTTCATGATAGCAGTGGCCCAAACCGAGAAACACGCTGCAGTATGTTCATACAACCAAATTAACTGAGAAATGACAAGGAGACCACCCACAACAGCATGGATGGGACCTGAAGAAATGTCATGCTGACCAGATGGAACTGTGTCTACCCACGTGAAACATAAAATACTAACACCAAAACAGGAAGGAAAACTTAATTCACAGTGTCTTCAGTCAGAAAGGTAGCTGCCTGGGAACAGAGAAGGGACACGGGACTGAGTAACGACAATATTCTTTATCCTTAGACAAGTGCTAATACACTCACGTGTTATTTATCAAAATAGACAAATTATGCTAAGACACAGACTTCCCTCAAAAGCACACAAGACTAACTTCAGCAGCACTAAGTGATACTGTTTCACCTACAACAGTGCTGTCAGTCAAAACCCACACTGCCCAGCTTACGTGGGACTATCGTGTTTCAGGTTTGGTCTGACTTCTTACCTTATTAACTTCTGGTGTAAGAATCTCTATTTTTCTTAAACGTTGGAAAGCATCATAATCCGTTTCCCCAAACAGTCTAATTGGTTCTCCTCTTTCTCTCAGTCTCCTGATGACCTAGGAAGAGAAACAAACACTGGCGAAACTTCAAAGGAAAAAAACCTAAAGAAACATCTCAAAACAATCTGCATATTTATCTTACACTAAAACCTAGGCTTAATAAATCTAACTTAATTACCTACATAGGTGTTTCTAAATTAAATATAAAATTCTTCAAACTTTTAAAAAGGTTGTACTTTGGTGGGCAGTGAACCATGAAGTGTGTGTAGAAGTTGGAGAAAGACACACAGGAGCTGGTTCTCTCCTACTGTCTAGGTCCCAGGGATTCAACTCGGGCTGAGGCTTTGTAGCAAGGCCATCCTCCACTGAGTCACTACGACAGCACCAAGATCCTTCAGGTCAATTTTAACAACCATCTATCTCTGTTATAGTAGATACACTTGTGAACAGATACATTTGTAAATGAAAGGGAAACACCAATACTATTTTTACACAAATATCTCATAAACTATTTTTTTCTGAATAATTCCTATTCAAATGACACATGAATCTGAAATGCAAATCTAAAGCAAGCCTTTAATGTAAACCATAGCATAGACACACATACACACACTGTCAGAACATAAGGGACACACTGTTTGCCCTCATTTCATAATCATGACCACTCAGGCCTTTTCTTTAAGCCTATGTTAACACACACATTAGTGACCAAACACCATTTTGAAATAAAAAAAAAAAAAAAAAGTGGACAATCGTGTTTGTTCTTCCAGGATTTCATACAACAATAATGCTATGTTATGGCAACACTTTAACATTCTAGAACTAACAGCTTAGGTCCTCTGGAAACCTGTTCAGGCAGGGGAATCAATCTGCACAGTAGGTCACACAGGAAACTGCATGACCAGGGGGAGGAGTGGGCGCTGCAGCACTACTGTCACAAACTCAGACTCAGATAAGAAAAGGCCTTGGGATTACAATGGCTACACGAAGGGCTTTTAAAGCCTGGGGACTATTTCAGTTCCCGACTTCAGTTAATGACTACACCGGGTTTTGTTTTGTAATTAGTCTGTACTATGTATTTTCTACACTTCGAGTACATCTTTCATTTAAAAATGAGAAACAAAATATGTAATCAAGAAAATAAAGGTTTGCTGGACAGTGGTGGCACACGCCTTTGATCTCAGCACTTGGGAGGCAGAGGCAGGTAGATTTCTGAGTTCGAGACCACCCTGGCCTAACAGAGTTCCAGGACAGCCAGAGCTACACAGAGAAACCCTGTCTCAAAAAAAAAAGAAGAACAATAACAACAACAACAACAAAATAAAGGTTTATCCAAGTTAAATAAATAAGTCAATAGATAAATAGATAAATAAATCCATAAATACCAGGTCATAGCTGCAAGAGCCAGCCGACACTGCTGGGCAGGCGTCCATCTATGTGGTATCCACCCAAAGCATGACTCACAGAGCTGACATATATAACACCTGCCTGTGCACTCATCTTTGAGAAGTAAAAACAAAAACAAAACAAAGCCAATCTTCTGATCTCATCGTCTTTACGTTTAATCCTATCCACAATTAAACATGCTAAAAACAACAGATAGATTTATGAGGCATGGCAAGAATATAAGACTACTGAGTCAATCACTAAAATTTTAAAAAACAGAAAACATCTGAACATCTGAGCTTATTACTTTAAAACAGTTCTTCCAACTAGAGACTACTACCAAGTAACTATAAATTGAGTAATACTTATGGCATCTATTTAAATAGGAAATTAACATCTAGGCCAGGTAGTGGTGGTGCACGCCTTTAATCCCAGCACTTGGGAGGCAAAGGCAGGCGGATTTCTGAGTTCGAGGCCAGCCTGGGCTACAGAGTGAGTTCCAGGACAGACAGGGCTACACAGAGAAACCCTGTCTCGAAAAACAAAAAAGAAAAGAAAAGAAATTACCATCTATAATGCCTAAAGGCAAGGCAATAAACTGTCCTCAAAATAGGCAAGAGTTCTTCTATTACTCTCATTTGTTAACTAAAGGAATATAGGGAAAGAGATAGATAGATAGATAGATAGATAGATAGATGGATGGATGGATAGATAGATAGATAGATAGACACACACATATATACATATATAGATGTATACACATACATATTCATATTTAAATTGCTCATATCATATGAACATGTTAATTTGTTAAATAAATTAATAGCTGAAGTAGACCAGGCTGTGAGTAGACACTACAGATCAGACTATAAACTAGTATAACATGTAAATGTGTACAATGCTATTTGATAACATGTATTTTAAACAGATCCTTAAAACATACAAAGTCAGGGCTGCAGAGATGGCTCAGTGGTTAAAAGCACTGGTTGCTCTTCCAGAGGACCCTGGTTCGATTCCCAGAACCCACATGGTGCCTCATAACCATCTGTAAGGAATTCAATGTCTTTTTCTGACCTCTACAGGCACCAGGCATACACATCAGCACACATATATACATGTAGGCAAAATACTCACACACATAAAGGATAGTTTAAAAAACAAAAAAGTATATATACTTTTAATTTTATATATACATATACACACACACACACACACACACACACACACACACACAGAGAGAGAGAGAGAGAGAGAGACATACAAGGTGTCCTACAAACCATGCTTCTAGAACTTTTCCAAGGGACATAAACACAATTAGCCATGCAATAATGTCTCACAAGGGTTTAATACTACCATTCACAAGGAAACACTGAAGCAATCTAAAGACAATGAAAAAAGAACAGTTTAAAAGCATGGCAGAAAAAACTCAGGACCTAGGAAGAGGAGGCAGGAAGATAAAGAATAAGAGGCATGCCGGGCGGTGGTGGCGCACGCCTTTAATCCCAGTACTTGGGAGGCAGAGGCAGGCGGATTTCTGAGTTTGAGAGTTCGAGGCTAGCCTGGTCTACAGAGTGAGTTCCAGGACAGCCAGGGCTACTCGGAGAAACCCTGTCTCGAAAAACCAAAAAAAAAAAAAGAATAAGAGGCATGCTACAATACATAGCAAATTTCAGTTCAGCCTGGGCTACACAAAACTCTGTCTCAAAAGAACAAAAACAAAACAAGAAAGCAAAAAAAAAACAATAAAGGTGCAAATATATGATGAGAAACTATACAGACATTAAAAACTATGTCTCACTCAAGAAAAAGAGGGGAAACTATACAGATCTCTGTGTTTTAATCTGGAAAAAAAATGGATCAGAAAATAAGAGATGTAGACAGCAAACCAGTACTATTTAAAACAATTTAGACAATAACTTTATAATTATTTAGAGTGTGTAAGTTTATATGTGTTTATTGTTTAAACTTTATAATACAGTCATTACAAAAGAAAGGCTACTGAGTGGTAGAGAAAGCTTAACAATGGGAAGGCATTTGCTGCACAAGCCTGGTGACCTGGGTTTGATGTCTGAAACCCATGGAAAGGTAGAAGGTGAAAACTGCATTACACAGCACTGTCATCCTACCTCCACATGTGTCCTGACACATGTGCCCAAACAGGCATCATGCATTCACACAATAATGTCAAATATGTCGGGGAGGGGGGGTGTTATAGGTACATTTTCCCTGCATGTAGGTCTGGTGCCCAAAGAGGCCAGAAGAGGGCACTGGATCCCCTGAAACTGGAGTTACAGGCAGCTGGGAGCCACCAGCACATGTGTGCTGGGAATCCAACTCCAGGCCTCTTGAAAAGCAGCCACTGTTCAAAAGCTTTAGCTCCTGGTTTTTGTTGCTATTGTTATTGTTTTTGGAAGTAAGAATACTATCAAAGGAAACAGAGATTTAGAAGTTCATGGGGAAAAAAGTCTGACCACATAAGATTTTTAAGTCAAATCATCTCATTTTGGAAACTTATGTGAAGTCCAGTGTAAATTTTTCTTTCTGACTACAAAATAAACAGAACCTTACCTCTTGCCTAGAAAGAGTCATAGGAAGCTTTTCCTCTGCTAGTTCAAGTTCCAGCACTGGATTTGATGATGTTAGTGGCTTCTGGTCATCCTCTTTTGGCTGTATCTATATTAATAGGCCGAAGAAATAAAATTCAAACTTACCAACATATATTTCTATTCACCATCTAATCACCTTAGCCAGCGCATACAAGAATGTTCCTGCTGAAGGATAAGCACCTGTCCCTGAGCAAAGGCTTCAGAGTAACTGTGCATGCTTCTGAGAGCTGAGCAGACATCCATTCAGGAGCATGACACATGGAGAGCATGCACACGGCAGAGCGCATTCTTGCTATAAAGAGTTGCATAACTACAATGTTTCCAAAATAAGGAAACTCTGTAGTGCTTAAATATGAACTTAACTTCTTCCCAGACACTAAAACAGCCCACTTTCTCTCTTAATCAATTTGCCTCTGTGAGAAAACTGTCTTCAAGGGCTATCCAACAGTTGTTCACCTCTACAGAGACTAAAGAACTGATTCCCGTTTTGCTTCTTCAGACACAGTATTCCAACCTTGAATAAACCACTACGAGGCATGTAGAAGAATGCTCAGAGCTGTGCACGACTGGACTACAAAATAAGCTGTGAACCTTGAAGAGCAGGAATGAAGGCTGACTGCCCCCGGGGAGTGTGGACTCTCACTCATGACCCTGCATGGGAAAATGCCTTCAGCTCGCTCTTCAGATCTGGGCAGGAGTCAGTCACAGACTGAGAAAACTGAGTCCAGCACTTTAAAAGCCTCAAAGTGTAGTCAGGAAATATACTGACGTATGGTACCCATCCACCCACACGGTAAGTTTAAAGTTCAAAAGTAGAAATAGATTCAAAGAAACAGAAAGAACTGCTTAAAGAAACTACTGTCCCATTAAGAAAATTTGCACGGTAAAAATTATACAATTCATGATTCTATAGTTTATGGTTAAAGATAAAATGAAATAGAGATAAAAACCTAATGTTTTGAATACTTATACAGGTAAAACCAGCACCAAGCTTTAAAAATGGGGGCTAGCTCCTACAAAGGAGTAAAAGCAACCATACTATACAGTCACTACTCCAAGGAGGGAAAGTTGTTAAAGAGCAACAAAAGACAGGTACTTCGTCCATCTGAGTTCTGATGTACTTTTACATCACATAATGTATACATACATAGACAGCTGACAGCTCTGGGACAAAGATCTAAGGCATTCTGTCAGTTGATTTGAAGACTGTGGCACTATCTCCATAGAGACAGCACTGCTCACATCAACAAAAGGATCCACACGACATTAGATTACTTTCCTATCTTCTCAAAGGGTAGCAAAGGTTCATACTTAAAAAAGACTGAGTGAGCAGAGAGACAATACATGATAAAGGATTCTGACTCCAGGTCAAGCCTGGCCATGATGCTGGGCAGGCAAGACAGGAGAGCTCTTCTGTCTACATAGCTACTCAAGGTTATTTAGATAATAAAATGTCTTTTACTTTTCTAAACTAGAAGTAAGTGAAGTTAGTATCTTTAAAGAAACCTACTAAAATATAATGTTAAACTTTTAAGCATTTATCTTTAAAATATTCCTTCAATACTTGCCTTTTCCAACAGTAAAAAAATAAAGCCAAATGCACACACATTAGTAGTTACATTCTTCATGCTTTCCTCTAGAAACGCTTTGCCATACAAATTAATTTCCAGAACTTTCTCCAGTCCATGCACAGGAGTATTATCAAATGTATGATCCAGTATGTTTTGATGGAACCTGTTGGCTTCGAGCTGAGTATTAAACTATGTCTGCTTTGAAAACAACTGAAACAGCTTCTCCACCTTCTACACTTCCACCCCTCCCAAGCATCATCAACGAGGCATCGTAAAAGATCATTTCAGTCATGCATCTAAAGCACGTAAGTGAAGCCTTTCAGACAGCTCATGGATTTAAAAATTCTTCTAACCAACAGACTACACAAATGCTGCCCCATGATTAAAGCAAACAAAAGCATACAGAGGCTATGTCTCTATTTCAAGCAGGAGTACTAGGCCCAAAAGGAAATTATGGGCAATATTAACATAAAACTAACTTCTTAAAGTAGGCAGGAGGAAGCAGAGACAAGACCGCTTGCTGCTGAAACAATCAAGGCTGAATGACTAAAGTGTTTTGAGCTCTTTCAAAACACACTTTTAGAGGAGAGGTAGGTGAGAGAGTGGTAGGAGAGATGAAGATAAGGAATATCAGAACGGAGACTTAATTTAAAAAAAAAATTCAAGCTTTGATCTCAAGCCAATTCATGCTGTCCACAGAAAGCCAAACCATTCCAAGCCAAAAGTCATGCATGTACTTTCCTAAATTCAAGATCCATTGTTGTTTTTTTTTTTTAAAGCCAAATCAAAACCAAAAACTCATACCTCTCCAGAAGGCTTCTCACTTATAGGCTAATGTATAACATTGATAAATTGAACAGAGATCAATAATTTTGTTATTTAACAACAGCTGTAAAAAATTTAAACTCAGAAATATCTGATTTAACATAAAAGCTGGGACTTTCCTACCTTGTAGCCACATCTTTCAAAATACGCTTCCTCTTCTTTTTTGGCAAGTTCACTCCGCTTGAAGTACTTTTTATTTTCCTAGCAAAGACAAAACAGTGCATTACTAATGTGCCCTTGGCAGAAGTTTGTGCCTCATAGCTATCAAGCCCTCCTAGACACCTTTTAAAAACACTTCTCAGTTCTTCAAGAATTTAATGTTTTCAGTCCTGAAGATAATCCCACCAAGTCCCCATATGGCGGTCCCCCACTCCAGAGCAGACCTGTGTTCTGACATGTGATAAACCCAAGCGGTTTACTTGACTGAAGTAGGAGTTCTCACAGCAAAGAGAACATACCAACAGCATTTTCAAAATGTTTTTATTCAGTTTCCTAACAGCTAAGTTCAAAGATCATTCTTACAGACAGATTTACTCTGAACCACATAAAAACATCCTTTTGTTATTTTCTCCAAATTAAAACAGAAATTATGGCATATAGAGCCAGTTCTGGAAATCTCCTCAATGGGAGCACTACAAAGGAATGTGTGAGGTCTCATCATCTGGAATCTTAGAAATCTTAGCAATCCAATTCTGGGTTTTGTTACTTTATAACTCTTCCTTTGCATCAAATGAAAATCACATTCAAAATGTTTTTAAAATGTCCAGTATTTCATAAACGTGTGTAAGCTTGTAGAAGACAGCACCTTTACAATTTACTCAAATGTCTCCAACAGAAGAATGGCTGGCTCATGGGCCAAATGTCCACCTAATTTTAAGAAATTGCCCAACTGTTCTCCAACTGGATACACTGTCTTAATCTCCCAATGAGACACAGGGGAAAAAAAAACAATAACCATTAAAAACTCCCCATACTGAAGTTAGATACAACACTGTAGTCCCAGTAATTGGGAGGCTGAGGCAGCAATTCAAGCCAACCTGGATGATACAGCAAGACTACATAGCAAGAACTGAAAGAGAGGGGAAGGGTGGAAGCAGGGTGAGAAAAAAACAAACTGTCCTCTATCAAAATCAAAAGCCAGTGGTGATTTCATCATGGCTGAACCTAGCAATGCTAATCAGACAGTGGCTATGGGAAAGTCTACAGGACCAGAGGATCTACAGGACCAGAGGATCTACAGGACCAGAGGATATACAGGACCAGAGGATGTACAGGACCAGAGAATATACAGGGCCAGAGGATATACAGCTTTGGCAATACCACCTCCAGGTTAACCCTGGACACCATGGGGAACTTTTTTACTTTTTTTTTTTTTTTTCAGAAGATTCACCAACAGTTTCAAACTCTTCTATCAGTTACAGCCTGAGATGCTGCAGAAGATCGAAGGCAAGTTCATGGGCCAGTTGAGGGCATCCACTTGGGAGGAAATCTCAGGAATCAAAGAGGAAGGGGACCTAGATGCTTTCACGAACTGCTTAGAGAAAGCTATAGACGGTAAAAACCACAGGGAAGAACCATGGAGACTGGGGGGAATCCCAGAGTTTTCTACTTCCTGCAGCTCTGACCATTCAGCAGTGCCTTGTGCAGAACAGGAGGAGACCTAGCACCAACAGCTGGCTGAGGCCATCCTGACTGGGCCCACCAGCACCCAACAGGCTCTATACAGAGAGCAAAGGTATAGCTGGCTAATGTCATCCTGGCTGGGGCCACACAGGTCCAGGTCTACCAGCATCTTACAGGCTATACTGGGAGAGCAAGGGACTTGCTATCTGCACCAGACTGAGGAGATGGCTGGGATCCAGAGCAGAGGGCAGTCAAAAGTTGAGGCCTTCAGTCAGCATGCTGGGCCTGGGAGAGTGTTTCTGGGTACAGCTGAAATAGTGTAGGGTTCCAGCGCCTAAACAGTAAAAGGTCTCACCACTGCCACTGTGCTGCTAGCACATGAACAGACACACACACATACACACACATAACCATACCATAGATTCCTGGTGCAATCTTCCATCTGGAGGATTGTGGCCTTGGAAACTTTCTCTCCTGGAGTTTTAGCTAGCATCTCTGTTTCTCTCTCTGGTTCCTGACCATCCCCATACAAACTCTACATAGCTGTTTCCAATCTATACTGATTGTCTTGTCGTTGACAAGCCCAAGGATCCCCCCCCCCATGCTCTTCCCGTTCATAAATACACACAAATACACAGAGAGAGAGAGAGACACAGAGAGAGAGAGAGAGAGAGAGAGAGAGCGCTTTTATTCATCAAAAGGCACTATTAATGAAATAAATAGCCTAATCTGGAAGAAAATATCCAGAAAACATACATATCAAAAAAAGTGGTGGGATACATAAAGGAGTCTGGAGAATTAATAACTAATCTAATTTAAAGTCCAGAGAATTAAAGACTAACCTAATTTAAATTTGCAAGCAGTTTTCACACTTCACAAAAAAAAGTGAGTATCTAAAAAAACAACAAAAAAAAATCACACAGAAAGTACTTACAAATTATCAAGAAGATGAAAATTAGAACCATACAGATATCTCTCCACTGAAAAGCCAGACAACATAAACGGCGGGCAGGAGTGCAGCCTAGCCAACCTCTGACGCTGTTTATGGATGTATAACATGTTAGAGCTAGGTTTAAAAAGACTCAGTGGCATTTTCTACGACTCAAACATACGTGTACTCTGTAACCCAGGGGTTCCAAAGAGCTATGACAACAAAGCTTCTGGGGACTCAGAATCTGTTCAACAATTCAGAGAAACAGCTCAAATGAGTCAAGTGGACGTTGCTATTTTATCTCCTCGTGGAGACTGGTTTACACCGGTATTTGCATTTGTCAAAAAAAAAAACACTGAATAGTAAACAAGATCCACGCAGTCCTTCTCACACAAATTTTTACACACTTGCACACAAATAGAACAAACACTGAACTCTAGGGCGTGTGCCAGATCGCTTAGGGGCAAAGCTTACTAACTCTCCGCAACATGATTTGGGATACAGAATGACTAGTAAGTCGTTTTATCACTCTGCCTGCAGTTGATCCAGGTTAAGACAGCAAGCGCCGCCGAAGTGGGCCAGAATAGGATTCAAATCCACACTCTAGCCCTTACCACCGCTGCCAGCAACTTGCCTAGGATCTGTCAGCCCCGTCCCTGCCCCAACCCTCTCAGTGCCAACACCTTTCCAAGCATAGTAACAACATCCTCAAGCCCAAACTTCACGGCCACAGGACTCACCACCAGCAGGTTCCTGTCCTCCACCAGCTGCCGCTTCCGCAGAATCTCTGATTTCAGGATGTCCATGTCGCTCCCAGTGTCTAAGCTCCACTTTGACTCTCCAGCTCCTCCGCGGTAACCTCACAGGCCGGGGGAGGGGAAAGAAGACGAACCACCACAAGACGAGAGCCCAATTATCAGAAAACAACAAGTGCCGGAGCCGCTTCCGGCGGAAGTCAGGATGAACGAAAGAAAGGTAGGGAGCGCCCCTCGGTGCTAACGCTGGCAAAGCCGCTGAGTATTGTTGCCCCCTAGCGGTACCCTCCAGCTGCACACTTGTGATTTTAGTAGGCAGGTAGAAAAGAACAAAAGGCAGGCGTCCCTGAGGGTTTGTCTCTTTAAATGGTTATTCTGCCCGTTTAAACCAGCTTGTGTGTTCCTAAATCCTCCTTGTAGGACACCTAAATTGTATTAAAGCAAGAGCTTTACAAGTTTGCTTCATAGTTCCTCAATTTACTTGCTTGCCAAGAGAGCTAACATACTAGAGAATGAGAAATACATGAATAATACAAGTTTTAAAGTGGTGGTATTTAATAATTGCCTGTTCAACACCCTGTAACTTTATTGTGTTTTCTGGTTATGCATTCAGAAACGAAGATTTTCAATGATGATTAATTGGAGATTATAATCATTCTTTCTTATAACCTAGTCCAAGAAAAAATGTTGAAATTTTATTTTGATTTGTTTTTATTGTGATGTGGGCACTCACTGTGTTGCCTGGGCAGGTCTCAAACTCTTGATATCAAAGTAATCCTCCTGCCCCAACCTCAGAGTGTACCACCATACTTGGTAGAGTTTTGGTTTTGGTTGTTTTTTTTTTTTCCTAATCTTAGAGCCTCTTGATTCTATGCCATGAAAGTATTTTTATTTTTAGTTGTCATAATTCAACGATATTTTATATTACTTTTTTCTATCTTAAAAGAAATGAAATAACATTCAGTTCAAACTCGACTATAGGTAAGATGGTTTATCAAAATAAAAACTGAAAGGGTTACTCATTAGAAAGTTTTATACTGTGTGAGTGTGTGTGTGTGTCTATGTGTGTAATAGGATATTTCATCTAAAAGATATCTGGGGACCAGAAAGATGGCTGAAAAGCTAAAAGCAGTTGCTGATGATCTGAGTTCAATCCCTGGGAACCCACAAGGTAGAAGGAAAGAGCAGATTCTCAAAGTTGTCCTCTAACCACAACCACACCACAGCACACACACACACACACATTCACACATGCAAGTGAATAATAAGTAACTAAATGTGACAACTGTTTTAAAACTAAAAGATGTGTAACTCTTGTTCTTGGATGAGACATGCTGACATTCTTAAATGAATATTTGTTGCCAAGGTGAAACTATTTACCAGCATCCTTCTGGTTTAGGAACTAGAGATTATGAACCCCAAACATGAAGTGTTGGCATGGCTCCTAATAACACTGTGAGGGTTCACAGAGAACAAAGGCTTCCCTGGCCAGATGGAACACTCTCAGTGTAAACTCGGATGGGGCTAGCTCCTCTTCAATTCCCAACTTTGATTTCAATGTTTATGCAAACGTACATTAAATCATGATGAGGGCCTCAAATCAAAGACCCTCATCCTAGCACCTGAAAGTCAGTATTCTGTTAGTGCCCTTCAAATAAAGATGTAGAACTCTCAGCTCCTCCTGCACCATGCCTGCCTGGATGCTGCCATGCTCCTGCCTTGATGATAATGGACTGAACCTCTGAACCTATAAGCCAGTCCCAATTAAATGTTGTCCTTTATAAGACTTGCCTTGGTCATGGTGTCTGTTCACAACAGTAAAAACCTTAACTAAGACAACAAGAAAGTGAAGGGTTAAGAGAAGTAATATTTCAAAGTACTAATGATCATCCAGTGTCTGACACGACCTCTTCATTCCTTTAAATGCTATAGCCCAAACCCAGCCCCAAAGCACAGTTCCTACCCATGAAGAAGGAATCAGTGAGCTTGGGAAGCACAGGAATTGGCCCCCAAAAGCTGAGATAGTATTAGATTATATGATGATTTGCTGGTGTATATGGGTCACAGTATTCATAGAAGTTAAAAACGGCCATCTTCGCTTTCTCTTCCGGTCCCAGGTGCTGCGGAACCCTCGGGTTACCGTGCAGACATGGCCAAGTCCAAGAACCACACCACACACAACCAGTCCCGCAAATGGCACAGAAATGCCATCAAGAAACCCCAGTCACAAAGATACGAGTCTCTTAAGGGGGTTGACCCCAAGTTCTTGAGGAACATGTGCTTTGCCAAGAAGCACAACAAGAAAGGCCTGAAGAAGATGCAGGCCAACAATGCAAAGGCAGTGAGTGCACGCGCAGAGGCCACAAAGGGACCCAGCCGCAAACTCAGCCGCCTGGCTTTCATCGGTTGGGAAGCGGATTCGAAACTACGTGGCCAAGGGTCGTAGGCTCTGCCAACCAAAGCCCAAGGTTCAAACCAAGGCAGAGGCCAAAGCTCCAGCTAAGGCCCAGGCCAAAGCTCCAGCCCAGGCTCCCAAAGGTGCCCAGGCCCCTGTGAAGGCCCCATAGAAAAGGCTCCTGCCAACGTGAAGACAGATGGACTGCCATGACACACCTACCCACACACTATTTGCAGATGACCAGTGTCCTATGCTGTTTTTACAAATAAACTCGAGGAAAGAAAAAAAAACGGCCATCTTTGGAAAGATGAAGTAATATAAATCAGTACACCATTGATGAGATTATCCCTGTGGAGGAGCAATGCATCCTGAAAAATTATCTGTCAGTTCTGGAGACTGGAGGGTAATACCAAATGTTATCAGAATAACCTAAATTTATCTTGTTGTAATCCTAATGAATAAAATAGAACTTTTAAAAAGAAAGAGAAATAATCATACATAGTGGGTCTCAGTCTTTAGCCTCAGAAGAGCCTGTTGGTTGTTTTTAATGACAAAGCTGCTGGTTTCCACATCCTAGAATTTCCAAGTGAGGCAGCTACTGCTGCTCCATGGAGCACTTTGAGAATTAATGGTCTATTATTGCAGAATCTCACTGTAGGAAAGGGGTAAATCCGAAACACAGTCTGAGAGACAGAGGACAAGAGGAGGTCCGTGTCTATGTGTCTATGTATTTGCAACATTCTCATGGGTGTCATGTTATGGTGCCTATCTCTTCTCCAATGAGATCTCTGAAGTCTGATGGGTCAGGCCACATTTACATGGATGTTTTGTTAAATGTAACTCTGGGCACATACAAAATCCAATCCAGGTCAGAGACACTTCTCCCTTCCTTGGGAAACAAAAACTGGAATTGTATGTCTCTGCAAGACACAGGAAATAAACATCTGAATTTGAGAATGGTAGGTAGCCATTTCATTGGCAGGCTAAAACTAGACTGGTCAACTCCGACCCACAAGAGATTGTTGAAGAATTTTGTGAATCAGTGGCTTACTTATGGTTTTACGCTTTGCGCTGTTGGGTTTGTGACATTTGTATCTTTGAGGTGAGATGTCACTCAATAGCATGCCACATCTCTGACTAACCCTTACTTGTCCGTTATGTCAGTAGTTTGAAATCAATGATAGAGACTGGGCCTCCAGAAGAACAGAACCACCAGGGTATGTGTAGATATACCCATTTTTCTTCTAATTACAAGAAGGCTGTATCCCAATAAACCCCCTGTATTCGATGTTTTTCTTGTTTCTATAACCATCAATCTGACAAGAAGCAATTTATGAAAAATAGATTTTATTTTGCCTCACACTTTGAAGAGATACAGCCCACCATGGTGTGGAGAGCATACCAGCAAAAGCATGAAACAGCTGGTGACACAGTATCTGCAGTTAAAAAGTAAAGTTAGTGCCCTGCAGAGGATGGGTCTGATGCTAAGGTCCTGTTCCACAATCGATTCTTGATCTATCAATAAAGATGCTAGCGGCCAATGAGCTGGGAGGAATAGGTGGGGCTTCCAGGTCCCCACAGGCAAGCTAGCATACTCAGGGGAGACAGAAAAGGAGTGTTCTCCATGCTTCAGAGGAAGAAAAGCAAACCAGCCATGGTGTATAGACCTGGGACTGAAGGTGGCTGAGCAGGTTGAGAGGTGCTGAACTAAGAGTATTGGGAAGGACACGCTAGCCATGCGAGATTGGAGGTGCCCAACAGATGAGCCAATTAGACTTGTTGAAAACTAATTAAGTGTGTGTGTGTGTGTGTGTGTGTGTGTGTGTGTGTGTGTTTCATCCTCGGATCTAAGGGAACCTGGGTAAGCTGGTAGCATGGCTGTTCCAGAGCTTAGGTGAGGTAGCAAGAGCTACATGCCACAGTGCCGGGCTCATTTTCTCCTTGCATTCATTACCCTAGCCCATTGGGTGGCTCTGCCCATATCTTATACCTGTTCATTTAATCCTTTGTGGATGTACCCGGAGATGCATTTCCATGGTGATTTTGAATTCAATAAAGTAGACAATAAAGAGTAAGAATCGGGGGCTGGTGAGATGGCTCAGTGGCTAAGAGTACTGACTGCTCTTCCAGAGGTCCTGAGTTCAAATCCCAGCAACCACATGGTGGCTCACAACCATCTGTAATGATATCTAATACCCTCTTGTGGGGTGTCTGAAGACAGCTATAGTGTACTTACATATAATAAATAAAAAAAAAGAGAGAGTAAGAATCACAGTCATCAAGAATATCATAATTTGAAAATATATTCACTACACCTAACCTCACAAACATCTGCTTAGCACACTCACACACATACACACACACTCACACACATACATACACACACACACACACACACACACACACACAAAGTACGCTGTAGGAAACTGATTGCCGCCCAAAAGCTCAAGATAGTATCTGAGGAGAAGATCAAAATCCCAAGTATGACTTCTACTGTATGTGTATTGTTTTAACATTACTATAAAAAATGATTAAGTGTAACCACAGATGCTGCAAAAGGAGATTCATGTGGGAACTGATTTATAATTATGGCATCTTGAACGTCTCACTTGTATCTACAAGCTGAAAACTATGGAAGCTAGTGCTGTAATTCAGTCTGGAGTTGTGATAATTTGGGTGGAACAATAAAATGGTGTGCTGGTTAAGCCCTGAAGTCTCAAAACAAAAAAGACACTCTTGTGTCCAAGGGTGTAAG